AAAAGTATTTTTGCATAGAAATAGTACAACGCATGCTTGGTGGTATATGAACAGCCGGAAAGAATAATTATTTCGACATAATGTATTATGCAACGATTATGCAGAACAGTTTACTAATCTGACTAGAGACGATGGAAGTGTAAGATAGACAGCAGAGTAATTGATTTGTGATTGAACCTGTACCGAGGTTTAGTCGGGCAGACTACATTAACACGTAGCCAAGAATGAACGCTGTCTAGAGGAAGGACGAGAGGAAAGTAAGCTTTCATGTGAAATCTGTGCGTTTGGTCTCTACATAACGTATTCACTGGAAGAATCATAGAAAGCGGCTGTGAGGAAGGCGAAATCCGCGGAAGCGTTAGCTTGTGCATGGATAAAGAAAGATAACACATCGTGTTTGCTAAACAATAATGGAAAGAATTGTTGGATCAGTGCCGAGGTTTATAGACAGTCGGTCATGGAAATTGCTATGTAGAGGGTTGGGAAATATTCATACCAATGGACCCATCATATTTAGCGAAGTCGGTCAATCGTCTCTTGCTTGATGCTGATTTCTGTGTACAGGTGCCATGTTATTTTCACATCGCTCTGTTCTCACGGTTACGATGGTGGTCCTTTTTCTCTTGATAGTCGTAATGTTCATTCTTGGCTTGGTGTCTGTCCTTTCAGATTTGCCGCGTAAAGATTATATGTCGATGCAACCTGCACTGTGATTGGAACATCTGTTAAGGGATATCACCCTTAGCATCAGTAACACTTACGCTTCTGCTCATTCAATATTGCAAGTTACTCAGGTTAAACTTGATAAATAACTAACTAGTAATAACTGCCACGACCTACCTAGTAATAACTACCATAACTAGTAATAACTTCAGTAGCCACTATGATAGAAGAGATGAGGGGTTGTTGAGGTGAGGACTTAGGTTGGACAAGAGGCCGACTTGAAAGGAAGAAAACCACGGTGCTGTTATGGCGTTTAGGTGTTCTACCAAGTAAGAAAAACAAAAAAGTCTTAAAACACTTGGGAAATGAAGACACGTATCGAGAAAATTGGTGGTCCTTACCATATTATTTCGAAGGTCCAACGAATTGTGTGTAAATGTTTATGAAGTGAGAACTATCTGATGACCATCTAATATCTGTAATCTTTACAGTTACAACCAGAACACACATCTACTCATTCTTTACAAACATCCTAACCCTGTTATGAGCAGTTCTCTGCCTCGTTTCTATTTCGGTGAATTGGAAGTAACAGATGGGTGGAAAAAAAGAGAAGAAACGCTGACCTATTCATCGCTTAGTTCTCAGAACCCATTATTTGGGAAGAGAGACAAGTGGGGATCACAAGAATTACGGAATGTCTTCCCTTCCATTCTTCATTTACGTATCCTTAGGGTTTACTCCGTGAGATCTCCATATGGAATTGATATGGTTTCAAGCTTACATTTTGAAAGTCGCTATGTGTCATCTTTTCTTAACTATAGCGTGTTAAACACTGTGTGAGCTTAGATTCCAGTAAGGGATAATTGTTCTGTTAGAAAATGTTAGGAATCTGAAGAAGACGTCATGGTGAGTCATTCGTTCCACAGCTGATTTCACATTCTCGTAATGCCATTATCTCTACTGTGTTGTACCGCTACAGATTTCTTGTGTTCATCCATGGAATAAATCTCCACTCGAGATAATGTGTGGTGTTTGTTAGGGCTGAGTGTTATGACGTCTATATGCATAACATCTGCTGACCAGCGTTGGGCGGCTTGTCTCCATCCATTTGCTCCAACACCGATTCGCCTGGATGCAGGTTTTAAGAGAGTAATGAACAGTGATGACAGCAATTTCTGGTGGAAAACCAGTACCAAGATCTGCTAAGAACATCGAAAAAGCCTGAACTTTACGTTTGGAAAAGCACACATAACTCTAGGAGCGATCACACCACCCCCAACTCCAGTTGATCACATGATTACACTAGTATTTCCTGGAAGCTTGCTTTCTTCACAGATGTCATGTTTCACTCTGTTACACTCCTTAACGAGTATGGAATTGATGTTCAGAGCCAAATGAAAAACACGTGGGATCTTCCAGATAATTCTAGAAAGGTCAGATTCGTTCAGTTAGAACAAATTTCTCACTTTAAGGAGGCACCGTTCTGCTTCAACAATACAGTGCCATGAGGGCTCAAAACATTGTCCTTTCAGCAATTTTGCTAGATATTTGTATGACTATCATCATCTTGGCATTAGCGTTTGCCCTGAGGTTTTGTGGCACGACTCAGCGTAGCTATTGGTGTAATATGTTTTGCCGAAGCTATCTTTATGTTAACGGCAGGATGAGTGTGATTTCGCACTGAAGCGGTTGATACACCCCCACCGTGACAAGAACCGTGGAGATGCTAGACGTCACGGAGCGGGCCACCATCTACACGTGCCGGAAGATACGGAGACGCCAGAACAACTGACGGAATGTGGCGGAAGTGCGGAAACGGTAGTCAGTCCGTCATGCTCCGAGGAAAGAACGCGACGAGGCCGGAGACACACAGGCACGGCTGCGTAGGGGGAGGAGCGAAGCGGCAGGGACTAAACTCAGGAGGAGGGACGCTTCCCGCCTCTGGCAATCAGAATCAGTACTACGGAATCGTTCTCATAGTTTGCGGCTGCACTCCATTCCCTCTACAAACCACTAAGCAAAATGGACGCGATCAAGAAGAAGATGCAGGCGATGAAAATCGAGAAGGTATTGAATTTATTCTTAATGCCGTCGTTTTACTAAAAATATATCAATACAAAGTGACATCTCCAGTTATGGGCTGTATGTGTAGATAGAAACCTGATCGAACACTTCGCTTCCAAAAAAGTGTTCAAAATTGATCCAGAATCGTGAAACCAATGTTAGGTGTGGTGTTAGACTTGCATGTGGCTGGAAAATGCCGCAAGGTGTTGCGCTTATGGCGATGTATCTCTGTTTGTTTTCCCACGGACGAGTGACGTTCATGCGCGGGCATTTCCACAGGTGGAGTGTGTCTCATTTGACTGACGACGCTGCCGCCTTGTTCAACCAGTTCAATTCGCCTGCTTTTATCAACGCAGATAAAACCAAATTATCACTAGATTCTCCGTGTTCGTATCCTATTCGGTTTCACTTCGTCAAATTACTTTCCCTTAACTCTCTCAAAGATCTCAATAGTGGAACAAGGCGTTAAATTTAACTCATAAGGTATGAAATAGACTATCCTATCCCGCTTCGTTTCCAGTGCTAATCTCAGTCGACAAAAACTGTCACCACTTAGTACCAAACATTTTTTCTCTGCCTTGAAATCTCATACGCTGCTGGTTTTCAGATGCTTCTCTTGGATTTCGATTTTCGTTGGGTTTTATCTCAATCGAGTCCTCGAATATTCTTTAAAAGCCTATAATCGAGAATTACTAGTAGGAGTACCTCTCATAACACGTGTTATGCCGCAGTTTTTTCTCTCTGGCTCTCTATGATCATTCGTGCCGATGAATTTGATGTCGATCGAAGAATAACTATGAATCACACGAACGATATTTTGTCCCGGAGTGAAGAGTCCTGTAAAAAAACGGTGATGATGCCTATAGGAATATAACTGTGGATTTTTTCAGCGATTTTAAATTTTAACTGAGAAACTTCACTGGTAAGTATCATAAAAGTGAGCGGCATGGAAATAATAGCGCGAGGCCAAGCGAAGGTGGAATGCTGTGTAAGCGATATCCCCAAAAAGTTGCCTTGAAATGTTGTTATTCGTCCAAAATTGTGATCAACAGAAATGGACGTGGATAGTGTTTTAGACGTTAGCACTACATATGAGCTCTGTCCGGTAACGTTTTTCATCTTACTAATCTTAAAAACATTGAATGAGACAAGTTTGTAGCAATGTCAGTCGTTTGTTGGTGGTCGATTGAAGAAAATGGCATTCAGTCTAAGTAGTAGAATCGTATTCGCAGTTCTATGTTTTTATGGCTTGATTTTCTTCTTGGAATTCACCACGCCCCACGTTTTCAATCCGAGTTCTGGTTAGCCTGATGTGGGAGGTTAAGCGACGGCACGACAGGCACTGATGTGAACAGTGTAATACATAGCAAGCGAGCAGAGGTTTCGATCCTTACACCATCTGGAGTCTGATGTCTCTCTCTACGGTTCACCAGCCGGCTTCTGCACGAACACCATCCAATAAGCATCATCGTAATGGAACTGCGCCCACTGAGGAATCTGGTAGATCGCCGAAGAAAACATAGGAAGCGACTGCGTATTGGCTATTGCCCTTCACAAGGAGTCTGAAAGTGTTTTTGGGTGTGTTTCTCTTTAGAGGAATATTAATCGAGAAGGGAATGAAAAAAGATGAATTCAATTCTTTGTTGATTTTACACAAATGTACTTTGTAAACAAATTGGATGTTCGACCACACCGCAGAAGGTGCATGCAATCCGCGCAAGCGTAGACAAAGTACTATCGGGAACAATACTCTGTAGTACAGGACAGTACTTCCAATATCTGGAAAGGTATTCTGAAAAACCTTTTAGGCAAATACATAAGTCAAGTAGTTAGCATGTCAAATTCTGGCATCGGACTCGTTAGGAGAAATATATATTAAATTCGATGCCTGCTGCTTAGAACAGCAGTTTCTCCACAGAAAAGAGGATTTCGAGCAAAGTTTAGCCATGTTTTCGAAAAGCGAAGATTCAGGATACCTTTGAAGGATTCGCGACAGAATTTCCACGAAGAACGTTGTTAGCTAATTCGATACCAATGAATACGTGATAGCTATTTCATTGACTTTTCGCTCTTTCACAACATCATCCGATGAATTCCTGATTTTCTTCCTACATTTGACATGTGGAAAATGATGATTGGTCTGATAGCTTCCAGAATTACTGGAAAACTCATAAAAGACTCCGAATCCCTGCACTTATTTTCTCATAGGTCATATCCCTGATGTAACAGTGTCTTCAAACGAATTATAGTAGCACCTAAAGTACCGGATAAAGTAAGTTAGTGAGTATCCTTGCCGAGAACTGCCTTCTTCAGGACAACGCTCTCGATCGAGCCGATGCCGCTGAAGAGAAAGTCCGCCAGATTACCGAGAAGTTGGAGCGGGTCGAGGAAGAACTTCGGGACACCCAGAAGAAGATGATGCAGACCGAGAACGACCTCGACAAGGCGCAGGTACGAATACGATCTAGCTCAGCGTTCTCCATGACGATGAGCTGTTTCTAGAGGATTTTTGAAAGTTGTTGCATTTGTGGACTATGTCGTCTGCACTCTCGGATTTCGACATTTTGTGAAGACTTTATCGCCCGTTATAAATATTAAAACGCTTTGTTGATTTATAGATCGGCTCTAAAAATTATTATAATGTTTGAATTTTACAAGCTGCAAGATTCTTGAACTTTTTAATTTGTTACTATTTTTTTTTAGTAATTTTTACCAGGATTCCTTACATTTCCGTTGTTCTGATGATTTTGATGTAAATTCTGAAATCATAAAGCCAAGGCTTTAGCTTACATCTGCATCTACGGTAATCAGTATTCTTAAGAAATCTACTCGTACTTCAATCTTTGAAGCAACTGAAAATCTCACTGAGACCGAAGCATTGAATTTTCACTGAGCTTATTTCCAAAGTGTTTTCAATAACACCGTTACAAATGGGATAATACGGAAAAGAATATTACAACATGTATTTAGTCATAAAAGTTAAGCTAAAAAGCTTTCGGCTTTAACATCAGCGCCATTAAAGAATAAAGGATACAGCTCTCAGCGGTGATCAATTCCAGAGGGATGCACCATGCATTCGACTTCGTTAACCATCGTTGAAAGTAATTGAATGCATATCTGGCCTTTACGATGATTCGCAGTGGCCCGTTGATGTATCGAGCTAGTGCTGCTATCCTCCCAGACAAGTGTGGTACCAATTTGCCGACCACGGAGGGATGGAAGGCTTGGTGAGCCTTAGGCGCGGAGAGTGATCCCACGTGTATTGCAGAGAGCCTCTGACCACTGGACTACACGCGCCCAAATGTAGTCATATTCTCACTAAAATATTCGGTATTAGAAATAGAAAACGATGGGGTGTACTGTGATTAGTGAACGAATCCATTTATTCAAGTACCTCTAGTCGAATATGTGTGCCACTATGGAACTACGCAGACTTTTATCCTCAAGTGAACTTGAATCACTACGCTCCAAGCGGTGTATTGCGCCTGAAATCATTTTCGATCTCAACATGGGTTTTCGGCTTACTCTTCGGTGAGAATCCCCAAATCAGTGCTTCTTCTCAGTGAATGAACAGTAAAGAAACTGTTATCTTTCAAATAAAAAAACGAGCTATGTTCGTTAATGGTTCAGGTGGAGATTTTCAATGTGAGCTCGTTGAAGACATTTCATTCTCCATTTCACAGGATTTCATGAAAGTTCAGGGTTCAGTTTATATAAAACTTATCAGCCTTAATATTTGTATGACCTTTTCTCACTAGTTGTGAGGACCAAAGCGGATTTTCTTTTCGTTTCGCTCCCTGACGTCATGGTCCTTATGGTTCACCTGCTTGGGATACGGAGATTTCAAATAATTGAATCAAGTCATCGAATGTTTCCATCTAAGAGCACTGAAAAATGACTTCAATGCGATTTTATTGAAGATGAAGGTTTAAAAAAATACAAGAGGCAGACAGTGGTTTTTTGTTGAAGTGCCACTTGCCAAGTATTCTCCGATAGGAATGGTCAGAAAAATATGCCAGCTATGCCAATTTGTGCAGGACACATTTTGCCTGTTTCGAGTTTCACTTTGAAGCAATGGTACTCTGTTGATTGTAGGAATGTTGGAATGACTGGAATAAAAATTAGAGAGCACTAAACATTTTGCAATCAGCTTTCACGACTTTCTTGCACACTTGGCTTCTTGACCTTAAGGTTAAAAAAGGTAACTCGAAAATTCATAGGAAGGAAAAAACGTCTAAGTAAAATATAAAACTGGCCTTTACATTTTGAAGTTTAAGTGAAATCTATAAACTTTATGAAAACTTTCCATGGATTCAGTTTATCGTCTCATAAAACAGAAAGCTGAGAGCGTTTAGTTCAGGAAGATTTGGCCACTGCCACCAGCCAGTTGGAAGAGAAGGAAAAGAAGGTCCAAGAGGTGAGTGTCGTGTTTCGGTCGACGTCACCTAGCTGTTCGTGTTTATCGAATGCTTCTCTTATTTCCATTCGTTTTCCTCCCTTTGTGGAGGCGTTTAACTTCTCTTCAGGTGATCCTCTTCAGTACGTTCCATTTTCTCAGCTAACAAAACGCAAAGGTAACATAGATTTTATAAGGTCATCGATATTGGCTCACACTTTCTTGTTACTTCATTGTTGTTTCATTTTCGACATTTTATTTTGATGACTGCTAGAGAATCTTAACTGCTAATGGAATTATTAGCTGTGGAGAGTCCGACGTCGTTTGACATCATTCAAACGAAGCACTTTGGTGGAAAACAAAAGTGTTTAGGGTAGTTAAAAAGCGGCTTGTTTCTGGAGAAATTATTTTTAACTGTTAAAGGGATCCGACTGATTTTTATGACGTTGTAATTTAATATGAAATTTCGTGAATCAACTGTTCCATGTTGATATGGACGACTTCTCCATAAAGCTACAACCCAATTATTTGATGACGTATTTCTTTATTTACTTGATAGTTGGGTAATCCAAAGAATGTTGCTAGTCCAACTACAGTTTTCATTTGGGTGGCATTTAATATGGTGGATGAGTCTCCTTTCATGAAATCCCAAGGTAGTCGTGCTAAGGCATTCCCCACGTTTTCACCGTGGGTCCATATGGATCTAAGGGAGGATTACCAGTTTCTGACTACATTTGCCTGAAACTGTGGGCCGACGCTTCACTTGACTTAATATTTTTATGATAGGATGCTTCAAAGTTATAATGAAATTCCACATATAATCAATAATCCTTAAGTGAAGCAGTCAATCTTAAAATATTTTTGAAGCGGGCTTCACTACCTGACAATGAATCCCGTTCCCAGTATACCCGAGTGGTTCTGCTATGCTAAAAGTTCTTCTCTTATTTGAATCACAATGATTTGTTCCTTCTGTGATATTTTTTTTTCTTCGTTATGTTTCTCATCTTTCAAAGAAACCTACGCGGCCGCTCTCTACGTCACTGCGTGGCAGCGAGGCTATGCGTACAATCCTTAACCGAGACACACTGTGATCAGTGTGATTGCTGATGGCGCTGGTAGATAGAAAACTAGCTGAGAGAACGGCGAAACGTGTGACACGTATGGTGTGGTGGTGAACGCTTTGGACCCCGGAAAGGGTAATTGCGCGTTTGTTTCCCATCGCAGACACCTACGGTGTTCGGAGTTTCACAAATATCTCAGCATCATTGTGGCTGTAATTCACATAATACCCTGCCGTGAAAAATTGTAGTAGGCAGTAAATAAAAAGAATACTCTCATCAGTACTCATAAGCGAACAGAAAATGGTAATACTCCCAGAGTAACTATTTTTTTTAGTAGTGTGGTTTGTTTTCGCTTTATTTTTCATGTGGGAGAAGTATTCCTTGTATTTCATTTTATATAGTAATATAGTACAAAATTTGCCGAGGTAATCAGTGTTGGTACGAGTTTTTTATAGTGAGCTGCGAGATTGAATCAAAGGAATGTAAATGCTTTGGCCTTCAGAAACGAGTCTGCAATTTGTCAGCCCCAAGAGAGGAAGGATATAGACTGGCATCGGGTGAGGATCAAACGACTCACCGCCTGCAACACTATTCAATCACTAATCCCCTACGCCATTCGTGATACAAATTAGATCTGAAAAAAAACACTCTCCTTTACTGAGAGTCAATGTATGCTTACTATGGCAGAACTTGCTAGTAGAACGTTTGAAAGTCGTTGAGGTTCGTTTCATAACTGCTCTCGCTACAGCTATTCGTCTTTCTCGTCATCTGGATCTGTCACCACTTAAGCATAAGATTCCTTTTTCTCCTATTTGGCTCACCACCTTGCTACCATCAATGTTGTAATGATTTAACATGTGTTTGCTTTACACTGTCGCCAGCTCCCCCGCAGAGCGAGGCGCCACCGGAATAGCGCGCGGATTGCAGACGCGCGGACACTGAGCTTGAGAGCGTTTGAAGCTGGTTGATAAGGACGGCAGGAGAACATCACAGCGGCCCGAAACGAATCGTCGGCAATGAATCGGCTACGAAGCCGCCGGAAAAATTGGAGAGAAACGAAAGTGCTGCGTGGTAGACGCACAAGCTCTAGCGCTGTCACGCAGGGAATGCACTCACATCTGGGAACTTCTCTATCTACTAATACCTGTAATAAACTTCGTAGGAAGAGCGTTTGTTTCCGTGATTTTGCTTATTTGATCGGAGGTTACATATTCCGCTTAGAATTGCCTCATTTTCTGGCTCTCTGATTACTACCGTATCTTAGGAGTATACTTGACTTGAAGTTCTTGTAATGGCAAGGCGATAAACTTTCACAAAAACGATTACGACGAGTTCTAATTCAGTTGGCCGCGTGAAGAGATGTGATAGATGTGTTGAGAGTAGTGAGGTGATTTGAGGAACAATACATGAATGACTCACATACATTCAAGGTCCACGAACACGTACACACACACTCAACGACCATTCACTCACTACACCACTCATCCGCAGTCTTTCCGCGTACCCCGACACAATTCTCATAGAATTCCTCCTGGAAGCGATTGTCTGACGATCAATCAATTCGTTGTTTCTACGACTTCTGTCATAACTAACGTTAGGCTTTAAGATGTTTAGTTGACTCGCGGGTGTTTTTTTCTTCTCCAACAATGAAATTTAATATTTTTGAAGCTTACTTTCCATGGGACTACATCATTTTGTACTGTTTTATGCTTACCGTTTCCTTAACTTAATGAATAGGGTTGGGTAGAACGCCTTCGTCGATCATTAACTAAAGCAATCTAAACTCCAACCGGATTCTTTCGTGCATTAAGTCGTTTCTACTTGGGTCGCTGAATAGAACGGGTCCTTATTAAATCACCTTTACTGTGCCAAACAAGGCCACTATTTATAACTGGCTCAATAGAACATCGGCATTCGATTTCGTGTTTTTGTGGATCATTACAAATGAAACATCGCTTAGATCTTCTAATCCGTAGAATTCTAGAGGAACAGCGATGTATTGGATTCAGTTATGTGCTTTAGTGCAAATCTATTATGCTCAGATTGTACTTGTTCTTTCTTCAATATCCAATTATTTCCTCTACCAGCTTCCTAATGGCTTGACGATGAGCCAATCATTGCTCTTTCCAATCATCCACGCTGGGCCTTTTTCTGTCCGCCCTTGGAATTATCAGAAAATTTGATCCATGGCTAAATGTATCTTATATTCAATCAAATCGGATCTCTGGATCTCCGTTGAGTGCGCGGTCAGCGATAGTCAGTTCGTTTGGGTGTGATGGCCTCGATGGTTCTCGGGAAGCACAGGTTAGGCACAAACAAACACACGGACACCAACGCTCGGCACACAGTACTCCGTTACCAGTCAAGTAGTTCTGCCAGTCGTTCAGCAACTTCATCGATGAACAGCTGGCTGGAAGGATATCCGTTCCATCTACGTACGTGGAATGCTGCACTACTAGAAGAATCGAAAATCCCATGAACTAAATCGGTTACAGTACACAAAGACATTGAAAGTTTCATAGATGATGAGAATGGATTCAAGTTACAAACTGTTTTGGCCCAAAGGTGATGAAAAATCAATGAAATTTCGCTGAGTTCTACTGCGAACTGACTAACAACATCCATCCAGGATAAGCCGTTAAACTGACCACGGCCTCAGTTCTGCTTCTGGCGCATTTTCATCTGTGACCAATCGATTGCGATGTTTATACCGTTGCCGTCTCTATGGCAATGAGTCAAGCGATGATCGCCAACCAAAGGACACACCATAAGCTGCTGATTTCCTTGCAGAGTCTGACTGATAACAGCGACAGGACAGGAGGGGACCACCCGTCTGCCCTCTAGAGCACAGGCTCTGACGCTGGCTGCCGCCGCTTCCATTCAAACCCGTCGCGTCGCGGTGGGCGGAGCTCGGTAGTGCGACGTCGTCTCGCCGTATTCCATTTTCGGTTCGCGCCAGCGACGGCTCCAAGCTGTTCGGACGTGCCGCGTTTTAATTCGCCGCATTTCAAATGCAGTATTTTTTGTCTTTACATTTGTTGTTTAATAAGTAAATCCATGAATTCATCCTGGTTTTTTTCTCGTGTTCCTTCTCTTCGAAGCTTTTCAGAAGCTTAATCTTACTTTGTGACGTCATACCTATGACCTCTCTTCGTTTTCCATTTCATTTTCTGGTTGGATGTCTTGTTTCTGTCGCCATAACCCACGAAGATTGTGAACCTTTGGTTAGTATAACTTGCAGAAGTGCCAAATTCCGTATGTTCGAGTGCTTGAATATCTTGTCTCTCTCCATTCGCCTATGGAAGCGTTCGTTCAATGTCGTCAGCGTCTAGTGCTTTTTTGATTGGGAAAACGTTTACAAAAAGCGCGACACGACTGTGCGAACCGGTCAATCTCATCTGGGAGTCGCGATATCTTCCCCAATCTGGTCAACATTCTTCGTGGGTAATGTTTCCTGTGCTGGCGCTCATGTCACCACCCATCAGCCACCACCCACCACTCGCATTGTCAATGAGAGTACATTGATTCGATTGCCATGGCGAGTGCTAATTCGGCTAAGCTTTTATTGCGTACAGACATCGCCCAGTCATTCATCACCGTCACGTTTCGATTGCCGTTGATCGTTTTCGGTTCTGAATTTCGTTACGGTTACCCTCGACCGTTCAATCGATGCTTATCAATTTTGAGAGATCGTCAAACACGCGGAGCGACTCGGCCGTTTTTCCGACCGTGCTCTGCGTTTGTTTGATCTCCTGGAGAGCTGCGCCGTGAGAGCGAACTCCGCCTCCCACAGTCGGTTGCCAGTCGTCGACTCCACTTCCAGCACTTCACCGTCGTCACATTGGGTCGTCCACATTCGCAATCAACTGCAAAAATGTCCAAAGTGAACAAAGAAGGTGCTCAGCAGACGTCGCTGCTCGATGTGCTGAAGAAGAAGATGCGACAAGCTCGCGAGGAGGCGGAAGCCGCTAAGGATGAGGCCGACGAGGTGCAACGTCAGCTCGAAGAGGAGCGCAAAAAGCGTGAAGACGTAAGACTATTCATTCAGTTATCTTCTTTGCTTACATTTTACTCATTTATCTCTCTCTCTCTATCATATCTTTTTAAAGCCGAATTTTCACTTCTGATAGGCAGCAGTTACGGTTTCGTTCTGACATTAACACATTGTAGACCACACTTGAACGTTTTGATAAGATGAACGCTTAATTTCTGTTCATCTCCGACGATTTTTTCCTTAAAAACTCATAGGGAATAACGCCTCCGTTTGGCCCGTTCTCAAGGGTTATGGGTTTTTTTTCCTAAAGCCCAAAAATGGATGGAAACATTCCTCATTCTTGGTCATATTTCCCTTGTTCATTACTCTAAACCCTATAAAAGTCTCCATAAAATTCTGTACAAGTGAAATAACTTTCTCCTCTGTGCTGAACTTGTTGCCGAAGATTCTACGAAGGATTTTACCAACTAGTAAAAGCTGTGGAAGACAGTTTCAAGAACCCGAAAAAAGACATTTGATGGTACTTTTTTATAGCTATTTCCTACAAAACTCACTGGAAGTTTTCTGGATATGCTTCTCCTCGTGGCCCGTATACGTCGGCTCTCTAATTGGGACCTGTGAATCCATTAGATGGAGTGTAGTCGTAAAGCAAAGTGCCGGTTTTGACTCATTCCGCTGCAAAACTATCGATTCGAAACGAGGCTGTGTGAGTGGCGGTGCCCCGGATGGACGCAGATGTTTCATTCGTGGTCGTTCTTCGTCTGCTCAAGGCCATGCCGAGCCCGCGGCAACCGGTGGGAGACCCACTGCTGCTCCCGTCCGGACAAATTGCTGGCCGCTTCGTTCGCCGTCTCAAAAGGCGGCGACGATTCTGGCAGGTTGTCAGTTTGTCCCATTGTCATCTCGAATGAAGTGTTTTAGTCCGGAAGTCGTACTGTTCGTTGTGCCAATGCGATTCTGGGCGATACAAGTACCACGTTTGCTACGCGGGGCGTAAATCCACCTAATAAACAACTAGAGTGTTTACGTTGTAGTTTAACGATAGTGCGTACGCGATTGTGAGTGAGGATGCGGGAATTCTCTCCTAGTGTGTTTGGAGAGAGCCAGTCTTTTCAACAACGGGCGGCATCCGGTCCCGCAACGCATAGGCGACCAGCTCGGCCGGCCCATCGGCTTCATTTGAACTCAGCGATAGCTGTTAGAAGATTCCTTGTAGAATATCAAAAACTGCAATTTTTTGTAGTGGTAGATAGATGTCGATGTTTGTACGATCAGAATTCGACTACGTATAGTGTTTGGAGTTCAAATGGATTGGGGTTTATTATGTCCTTCGAAATCATTGCGAAATAGTCAAATTTTTGGTCATTTACTTAGCGGGACAAGTCTTTTCGTCTTCTAAATGAACTTGAGAAGATGTATTAAATTGCTTTAGAAGCCCTTTTCATGTTTTTTAAAGAACATGTTTACAAAACACCTCCAATAACTTAACTAGAAGTTCCCGAGGATTTATTATTTTTAAGCATTTTATGCATTTAAATTTCTTTCTCTGGACAACTGAAGCAAATCTAAGTGTCCAAAGTCACCATTCACCTCCCTTTCCATCCTATCTCTTTCATTTTTGCATATAATGGTCTAGGCTGAAGCCGAAGTTGCGGCATTGAATCGCCGCATTGTGCTCGTTGAGGAGGATTTGGAACGTACTGAGGATCGCTTGAAGATCGCCACTTCAAAGTTAGAGGAAGCTTCGAAAGCGGCTGATGAAGCTGAACGGTTAGTCGTAGGTTCTTTCAGCGTTTCATTCGTCTCTAATCGTTATAGGCTGAGGCAGAAGTAGCTGCCTTGAATCGTCGTATGACACTGCTCGAAGAGGAGCTCGAGCGTGCTGAAGAACGCCTGAAGATTGCTACCGAAAAACTCGAGGAAGCAACACAGAACGTCGACGAGTCAGAGCGGTTGGTGGCAGTACTGGTCCAGTTCCAGTCCTGCTGGCCATCCCGCTGCCGACCGCTTGCCTCATATGTCCTGTGCTCGTCAAATTGTGATTGCCTTAGCTAGATTTACAACAGAAAGAAGAACAGTCTAGTGCTCAATGTCTGTGTTAGAGTTGTGGTATAACCTGCAGCTGTGCAAACGATGTATGACGAACGGCGGACAAAAAGTCATACGGCAGATCGGACAAAAAACCAGACTCTGCCATTGTTAACCCTCATGTAGCGTTACAACTAAGAAAAACTGATGCTCGGAAACATCATAGCTAGTATATTCGCTTGTACAATCTTTTGGGATGACTTAGCGATAACGCTTTCGTTCTTTTTCGCCCCACAGCATTTGCCACCGCTTTAGCTGCGATCGCTATACATCACTTACGCAGCCGCCTGTACTCACTTCGTCATTAGATGGTAAATTCTGGCTAATGCCTATACGTGTCGAGTCGTTTCCAGTGTTATCGTTGATTTTTGTGTTGTGTAGTGCTCGCAAGTCGATGGAGACCCGTTCGCAGCAGGACGAGGAACGTGCGAACTTCCTCGAAACGCAGGTAGACGAGGCTAAAGTGATTGCCGAGGACGCCGATCGCAAGTATGAAGAGGTCCGGACAATCGCTACAAATCAGGAGATTTCTGTTTTGTCATGGGCAGTTTTCATTCTATGGTGAACTGGAGAGAGCGTTTGAATAGCCTCGGACTATGCGGTACTGTCCTGAAAATTGCGCGGTGTACAGTCGAAGTTAACTCCTCAAATAGACTAGTCTTTAGACGGGGCTAAACGAAACAGAGGAGTTAACATCTTGTCAGAAGTTCCTTTAAGAAGTACATCAATTTCAACAGGTTTGCCACATGAATGAAAACGCCCATGCATTAATGTTTAGATATGTGTTTCGATTGTACTGATTTCTAACCAATTTATGCAACTGTGTTTTCCTTCACCGCAGTCACAAAGAATACTGCATGTTTATCTTCTCTGCCATTCCCTATCCACAACACTTTTCCCCAGACTCCGGTCACTCGGATGCATGTTTGTGCTTTTTTTGAGTTTGTTGAATTTCTTTTTCATGAAAATTTACTGTTTTTTCTAATATGTAGGAGTGTGTGACTAACGATACCGTTCGTACAGAGCACGGAAATCGCTGGAGAATCGAGTAGACGTAGACGAAGACCGTTGTGCGGAGTTGGAGACGAAGCTGCGTGAAGCGCAAGCGCTATTGCATGAAACTGAAAGCAAGAGTGAAGAGGTATCACCGTCATGGTCTCATTAACACTTTTGCTCCATTTCGTTTTCGGTCTCACCTGTTGCACATGAAAGTCAGCGATGGTTCTAAAAGCGGAACATGGTTACCGTTAAGTAATTTGTACTTCATATCGCTGCCTTTCTAATAGTTCATATCAGAGGTACAAGTTCTCTGTGCTGTTCATGATGTACGTGCGTGTTTCCATTCGTCTAATTGTCAGCAAGCGTAAAGTAAGCGGGACGTTCATTGCAGGGCATTTTTTATCCTATCCACTCTTATCCACTGCCATTGTCACGTTGGTGTGGTTGAGAGTAAATTTTCACTTAACTAGACGCACTTATGTTGGTTCAGTGTACGCAAAGTGATGGAGAATCGTTCATTCCAAGATGAAGAGCGTGCAAATACGATTGAAGCTCAACTGAAGGAAGCACAGATGCTTGCCGAGGAGGCCGATAGAAAATATGATGAGGCGAGACTGAACTGAGTCTGACCTCCTAATGTTATTTGGTGCCTAACGTAGTCACAATCGTTTGCTATAGAATACTCAACGGCATGCTTTCTTCCTTTACTAACTGTTCGTTGCGATTGTATTGGATTTTATGTTCTCAAGGCATAATGAAATTGAATACGATGTTTCCGATTTCTAGGTTGCCCGTAAGTTAGCAATGGTTGAAGCTGATCTCGAGAGAGCCGAAGAACGTGCCGAAGCTGGAGAGAAGTGAGTTACTCTGTTTTTAAGATTCGTTCTTCTGATAAGGTTATCTATAATGAAATTTTTTGTGTTTTAATCAATGCGACTCACAAGCATAGGAATCTCTAATACAAGAGAATTTATTCGCATATGGATTGTACATGTGTCTTTTCTCTAGATTACCACATAGGATGCGTATGGAAGTCAGAAGTAAAGGCTTAGTCTTTAAGATCTCTATTCAACGTTATTCAGCGTTGGTTCTACGGTCCTTAGTTCTCATTCTCATTTTCCAACGAAAATTCTTAGGTTTGGCAAGTATGACGTATGACGTTGTTAGTGTGAGGTTTGTCCTTATCCCATTGTTTGAAGGGCACTCCGTTTCGTTTACTCTGAGTAGGCGTCACCTGAGCAGAGTTTTCGTTTTTATCTTGGATTAGTCCTAGGAACTAATGTTCGATATGGTGTGTAATGACTAGTGAGGTTTTCATTCTGGTTTCATGGATTTTATGAGCATTACGTCAGATTTCTAGGATATTTGGAAGCTTTCAAAAAATATGATCATCAGAATGAATCACTATTTGATCATGGGAAATGATATGTTTGGTGGAAAAATTTTTGATTGGAAAGTGAATCGTTGCATGAAAATGGTCCAATTTGAAGGAGACATCGAGAACATGGACAAAGTCTCACTACTATACATGGGATGAGTATTGATGAAGTAATGGCCCTTTTTTAGTCTGAAGCAACTTTTCTTGCGAATCACTCTTCCTTATCTGTTCCAGCTACCTCTCCTTTCACATACCACGGCCCACTCACGCTTTTCAAAAACCTCTTTTCTTTCCATTAAAGAGCACTTTATATCTTATTAATTATATTTTATTGGTTTTATTGAATGAGAGAATATAGCAAAATCGTCGAATTGGAAGAAGAATTGCGTGTGGTTGGTAACAACTTGAAGTCGCTCGAACTTTCCGAGGAAAAAGCTCTCGAGAAGGAAGACATATTCGCCGAACAGATTCGCCAACTTGACTACAGATTGAAAGAGGTTCGGCCACCATCGTATTCTGATGAGTGAGCCATATGATCTGCTTCAAACCTTCGTCATACCGCCGTCGTATCTGGACAACACATAACCATCTCTGCTAGTTTAAAAATTACTTAACGAACCATCCATAGTCAAAGCACCTCTAATTGGAAAATAACACTGCTTAATCTTACTAACGGCCCTCTTTGTTAACCAGGGTCAGGCAAACTGGTTCCGAGTCTTCTTCTGTTTTGCAATCTTGACTGGAATGTGCGATTACCAATAAGATTTCTTTGAGCATGTAACAACTCTCGAGGGAGGCTCATCAACACTACTGTTTTATTGCACTATTCTGATTTACCACTCCTATCCCTATGACGTACGCATGAACTTAAATATCCAATTATGTGTATCCAAAGATAGGTAGATCCATAGCAACATAGCTAAAAACCCCATTCTCTGATTCACTTGCGTGTCAGGGAAGCACCTTATCGCTTTTGACTCGCGTTTACTCCCATGTGTCATCTGGTATCGCGCTACCTAGTGTCTCGACTAGTCTACTCAAAATCTTACGTATGGGGAAAATCCGTTGCATAAACGAATTTCCCTATTAGCTATAGTGAGTCCAATTCTTCTCGATCTTCTCAAACTATTTTTTCCGGAGAATAAGACTTATTTTTACGGAGCCGAATTTTGGGAAGCGAGTGCAAGGGTATTTTTTATGTCGCTTAAACCATCTTTCTGAGTTGCCTTTGCAGACAGTCTCCAATTTAGAGACCGTGGTCAGAGATCATTCAACTCCAGCACTTGTAGAGAGTAAACCACACTGGGCTTTTGGTGGAAATTATTTAAGAACAAAGTTGACTTGGCCAAACTTTTAAACTTGTCCTTATTTAAGAACAATTAGTCAAACACGTCGTAAATCAGTAATTGCCATTACTATGCCTGACCCTGTAATGAAACCAAACTAGTTCTTGATTTTCAAAACCTCCTAACTACTTAACACTGATTCCCTCTAATTCCACTGTTCTACCAGACGAGCGTTCGAAGCTGAGCGTGATCTTTCCGCTGTAGCAAGCAATTTACGCCGGAAAGAGAATAATGAGGAGAAAGCAATGCAGCGCGAAAGTCATATTGCTGTCCATATCGCTTCGCTCGAGTCGCGACTGAGAGAGGTCTGAACACCGTACGTGCGCGAAGTTATACATTGTGATCGTGGGGCTTCTTCTGATGGCAAGACAGATTTCCTAGCTGTGTGGAATGAATGCTAGTGTGTTCGCAAAACCTGATATCAGAATGTTCTAAACATTAAGAAAAATGCACGATTTTCCAAGAAAAGTTTGTTGTACTCTTTAGAATCTAAAGCTAAAGCACTACATTTGTTTTATCATTTTCGTCGAAATATACTAACAGTGAATGCGGACAGTGACTGCATTCAAGTAGCCGGCTGGCAAATCTGTTCGATCGTTTACAGCTGATGCTGCTGCGCTGCGATCTTGTAAAGGTGTTCGTGGTAGTGTTACACCCAAATGGCGCATGTACCTTAAATGTGTTGTGATTGTACGTATTGTAAATTGGTCGTGTTCTGTCTACAGCAAAATCGTCGAACTCGAAGAAGAGCTGCGTGTCGTCGGAAATAACCTCAAATCACTCGAGGTGTCCGAAGAAAAAGCACTTCAACGTGAAGACTCGTATGAGGAACAAATCCGTACCATCTCTGCTCGTCTGAAGGAGGTAGCGCGTGTAAATGTCGTTGATTTTCATTGCGAAGGTGTCCCGTGATGGTAATATTGCGATAGTTGTCGTAAGATTTCGTCCGTACTTCGAAAAGCACAAGCGTTGCGGTGAAAATGTTTGACATTTGTACCACTTACTGTCATTTGTTTTGTTCTTTCTTGTTTTACGCTGTTAAGTGTACAACACGAAGTACGTTGGGAATCTTATAAGCATGTTTTCCCACTGGTTATTATTGTTTCGTGTCGTCAGTTGTGTGCAAAAGTCGAGTCCATGCATAGATGTGATCAACCAACAATGCCTCTATATTTAGGCTGAAACTCGTGCCGAGTTTGCTGAACGCTCTGTCCAAAAACTCCAGAAGGAAGTGGACAGACTCGAAGGTATTCTTGTTCTTATCTCTGTTGAGGTCTCCATTTCACTCAAGTTCCATTCTTTAAACACAAGTATTGTCACAATGTCATCACTTTTTGTTTACTATCCATTCTTTTTTTATGGCAAGGTAAGATGTGAAATGTGATCACAATGATGCTGAGATAGTTCCAAAACTCCGGATCGCAGGTGTCTACGGCAGGGATCGAGCCTCGTTATTACCCTTTGCAAGAGCTAACGCGTTTACGACCACACCATGCTGGTTCTTCGTTTCGCCTTTTTCTCCCCCAGAAGTGATAATAGTGTGTTCGATCCGCACCGCAGGCACCTGCTGTCCGGAGTTTAGCAAATATCTCATCATCGTTATGGTTATATTTCCTTTCGAAATTCGAAAGAGTGTTATTTTGGGCGCAATGGCTCCGTAGATATCCATGCACATTTTTCTGAAACCGGTTGGTAAGGAGAGGAGCAGTAAATCTCATGATCAACATCTAATCCTTCATTTCCTTTCTGCTTTTCTTTTGAACATCGCTCCGTGCAAATCAATCTGTGAGGTGTTGTGAAGCGTTCATAGAACATCTCCCTGTGCTTGTCGTAAATGACGCGTCGTTTATGCTTCGCCCACTCGCTTGAATTCCTGGAATTCGTGTGCACCGTCAAGTTGTGTCTGTCACTAATGTGTAACAGGCTTTGCTTTATGTCAGCTGCACTCGAGAGAGAGAGGGAAAAAGAGAGGGAAACCGCAGGTTTTTTTGTTCTATTTGGTGTAAAACAGTAGTTAAGAACAGCAAATGATTATATGTATTGTGTATGATCGTCAGTGGTGTCTTATTTTTGTGTTGTTTATGTCTGTAGATGAATTGCTGCTGGAAAAGGAACGTGTGCGTAATCTGACGGAGGAAATCGAACAGACAGTGCAAGAGATCCAAGGATCATGAAGTGTCAGTGTCTCATTATGTGCATCAAGAGTATCCACTCACTCCCAACAACTCCTGGATGCAAACTGTATCACGTGGTTTTCCGAATGTGAATGCACGTTCTGGATTGCTTAAAATACTACTCAGTCGGTCAACCGAACGGGAACATAATTGATGCATGCGGCATGAAAGTGCAGATTAAAATTCCAGATAGTTCTCACCCTAGTTTTATTCAAATAACATGTTTTCAATATCTGTTTAACAGGTTGTTCCTAAGTTCGAGTGCAATGAAATGAGTTTCAGAAGAGAAAGATGAATCTGATCGGAAGAATCGTCAACTCCAGGAAGAGCTGGATCATCTGCTCACCGAGCTTAATGGTGTCTAGTAGACTGCTGCATCGAGATGCAGTTGTTGATTATCGAAATCTTGGCTTCCCACTTTCTTCTTGCGCAACATTTGCTGTGCACTGGTTTTATCTTTCAATTTTTTGCCGAATGCAATGTGTTACGATACTCCATGTACTTTGTTATTCTTTAACTTCCGGTGTGTGTACGTGAGTGTGATGTACTAAACATTAAACAACATAATTGTTTGCTGAGTTTCTATTTGTAGTAATTTTCATATATTGCATGTTTGATTGTGCTTATGTATATATATATATACATATATATATATTATATATATATATATATATATATATATATACATTCCGTGTCGAGAATCGAGACAAGTACGCCATCGTAACGCAGCTCTGGCCCTGAATCACAATTACGGAACAAACTCTGATGGCTCTCACACCCAGTACATGCGTCCCTCGACACGTTCTCCTATAGCCTTTATTGTATTTGCATCCGAACTTCCCGCCTGTGCTCCATTCCGAACTTCTGAATTCCTCCGCTAACCCTGGCTGCCTACGCGCATACTAAGCGTGTATTTGTTGTTCGTTTCAGATGAATTGGTACACGAAAAGGAGAGATACAAAGCAATTTCGGAGGAGCTTGACTCCACCTTCCAAGAGCTCTCCGGTTATTGATCCCTTCTTCCGCCACCGCTCATTCGTATTTCACATTTTTTTTCCTTCATACTTTTCCAGCATACCACTATTCACATTGTAGTCGGATAATTGTTCATTCAATTCTGGCACGTCTGAACATGTTATTAAGCCTTGTCTTTATCGCTATTGCTTTTCGCAATTCTTAGAGAAGCAATTCACTCGACAGTTTTACTCTTAACATCGTATGTTTTTCTTATATTTTTATGCAGAGCAGGTCGAATAAAGAAATGAACGGAGACTGCCGCATACACGCCATCATATTTCCGCTTTAGTTTCATCCCCGGGCAGATTATTGGTAACAAATTCGGGAAAATAGCGCCCAAAATCGATTTTACACAACTGTACCACAAAGAAGGTAACAGAAACGTTAAAGATTTCACTTCAAAACTTTTATTTTGCGTGACTCCGTCTTGCACATTTACTGTGAAGATCCCAGCACTTCTTGTAATCAACTCGTTTCCCCGCATCCATTATCAACGAACCTCTTCAAACTTTTACGTGTGGGTTCGGCTCCTGCTTGAGGATTTTCGTCTTCGTCATGGATACCGTTGAATGTCAGTCAAGCGGACTCACTATGGAGTCTTGAGATAGCCGGTCTGAGTATTTCTACTGGAATTGCAGAAAGTGAACGATTCCCAGACACCCATGGTACCAATTTCTGGATCCCGGAAGTATGAGAAGCTCGACGTTCAACCTGCAGTGCTTCTGATGGTCGGCATCGCTACCATTACATTACTCACAGCCCTCACCCTTTTCTAAATTATTGCCTAAAAAATTAATGATCCGCAGTGAGGAACGCCTCGTTATATGTGACACCACGTAATTATAAGACATATTTTAACGTGAGACAGGTAGATTAGCCATCCATGTGAACTCTGTACCATTGGTCTCTGCACAGAGTAGTCAGTGGGGAAGCGATGAATATGCGAACAACCAGTTCTGTTTCCGATGAGATTGAAAATTAGGTGTCGTGATTTCTCGGTCTTGGTTTTGGATGTCTTTGACTGAGTAGTCTGCAGTCAGAATGACCTTTCCGGGTTCTGAAGAAGGCGAAATCCACAGAAACATTAGCTATTCTGAATAAGTAGTATAGTAACAGTATCGTATACGCTTATCGAAAAAACAGCGAATTATATCTCAATGCCGAGATTGGTAGAAGGTCGGTCTTGGGAATTACCGAAAGTTAAGTTAACAGTAAATCTATTCTCGGAACTGTCGTCATTCCATGAATTAAAACTGTACCCACTGGGCATTTCTCCATCTCGAATGGGCATTATTGGAAATGGATGAGAATCTCACTGTTTTGTCACTGTTAGAACGTTAGCCATGAGACTGAGCATCATTCAGCATAGGTACAAATAGATCATTTTGGACAGAAAAAAGAACAGTAAAAGGAAAAGGAAACAACAAATGTACACTTCTGGAAGGTCTTTAAATAGCCAAGCACTTAAGAAAAATCACCACGAAAACAATGCAGGGTCATTTCGCTCGGGTACAAATTTTAATTATCAACGATTCGAAATTAGAACTTTCGAGATGTAGTTCGTAGAAACTCAAGGAGGACATTAAAAATGCACAGAACGAGACAGTTTACTTTCCTATAGAAATTTTTGTACCACAGCCGACCAACAGAAATCAAAGATAAATCACCAAAACATTCATCATCGAAAAATACAACCTCACGGATATAGCGCATAAATGTATATTATCTCGTAATTACACTAATATTATGACATGTCACCTGGAATAGGAAATACCGCCAAGATAATGTAACCAAAGTGCAGAATTGAAAATCAAATCACGTGTTGATCAGATGTTCAACCCGTTGAATAAAAATTCTGAGCAAAAATTACTACTAAATAAGAGAAAGACACCAAATAATGCAGTAAACCACTACTGAAGAGAAAAACAGTTTAACCAAAAACAATGAAGTTGAGGGTTTATCGAACGGTAGACTGTGAACCTGGAAATGAATACTGCAGAATAAATGCATGTAGTGTCAATACGCTGAGAAGTTGGTTACCACTTGTCTTTGGTGGTAGGCAACAAGTATGAGCCGCCAAAAAAGTGTAAGCACATTTTGATCTGCAAAGATTGCTCACTACGCTAAGAAGTTTGTTACCACTTGGGTGGTTAGCAAAAGATATGAACCGCCAAAGAGACTAAGCACATGCTGGTTTACAGGTAGCACTGCTATGTTAAGCCATTCATGGAAATGACAAAAAGAAGAAAAAGAAACTATGCTGCTAACAATGCGCGAATACCGTCGAAGCAGACACGGTCCGGTCTGCTAGGTTTGGTTTTTACAGCGAACGACGCATAAGTACGACAAACACGAAAATGATACGAACAAATCATTCTCAATTTATCGGGTGGTTAGCGAATGAAAATACCGTTCTCTCTATCACGCTACGAAAAATTAAGGTAGCCAGTAGTATAGCGGCTTTAAGGTCTCACAAAACACGTCCGTTAGAGCAGTGTCTCAATACGTAACACATACTACTATATAAGTTGCTCTAATAACATTTCCACAATAGGCCAATAGGCGTATACCATATGAGTTCCTTTGATAATATTCGAAACTATACGTGAAAAAACTTTTCCTCTCAACGTAGGTACCGACAACCTATTTATTCTAAATCAAAACTTAAGCTACTGTTTCTAAAAACCTCCCAGATCATCAGAGTTGCTTCTAGCAAAATTTTTGGGTTTGCAGTATAGGTTTCAATGATAGTTTCCTACTCCTAGATTTTCGAACAATTTTCATACATCTACCTGGATCGTTTGATCGGCACTAAGAGATATGATAGAAGCACGGGCACATGAACCTAGTCCTGGAACTTGACGAGCGTTTCCAGATGTTGGTTGTGGAATCAAAGACAAGACATCTGCGGATGTTCTGTCAAGAAACTCTACGGCAGTCACAAAAATACCATGGGTATCCTGAACAATTTTCTCCCTTCAATAATTGAGTAATTTTTTCTGTTACAAAATGTACCACAGAAAAAACACGAAGAAAATATGACTGCTAGTAGAAAACGCACCTTGAAAGCAATACACTGTCTCATTTCATGAGTGTCATAAATGAGCACACTACCTCCCATTGTACCTACACCCGTGAAGTTTCCACAAGAGCTTATACACAAGGATGCTATACTCTGAAAAGTGAAAGATGCATGAAAAATATCACAATTCAAAACGTTAAAAACAAAATTGTTGATAGCAACATCAAGACAAAAAAATTTTGTAAAAATCAATTACACAGTGGTGTCGCTCCCACGCCACAGATATATTGTTCATCTCAGTACAGCAGAGGGATGACTGGGAGGTATGAGAAAAAAGGAATAAACCTATAGGTATACAAACCCAATATTTTAGAATGAGAGAGAAAGAAAAACACTGCAATCGAATTAACAATAAAAAACTAGATATCTGCAAAACTTCGGACTGCAGGGGTCTGTGGTGGAGAACAAACGGACTATTACCCTAACCAGGTGCTAGCACGTTCACCACCACACTATGTGGGTCTTATGTTTCGCCTTTCTCCCAGCTAGTTTTCAATCTGAAGAAAGTATTTCTCTTTTTTTTAGAGAAAATCGAAACAAAGGACCAGCATGGTGTGGTGGTGAAGACGTTAGCCCTCGGAAAGTGTAATAGCGCGTTCGTTTCCCACCACAAACACCTGTGGTCGGTAGTTTTGCAAATATCTATGCATCGTTATGATTGTGTTACACATAATACCCTGTCGTGAAAAATTGTAATAGGCGCTAAATAATAAAGTTAACATTAAAAATTATAACAATAAAAAATTAGGGTTAAAATAAACTAACATCGCCTTGACCTGTTCTTCTCACTACAATTGACCGAAGAGTTTGTCTCTCTCGACTGTAAGCCCATAACGCTAAGTAAGACACCCGTTTCGAACTAAGAGAAACAGGATTGTAGCCGGCAACGAATACCAAATTTCTACCACTTCCAAGACAAGTACATCGAACTGAACGAACCTAAAAACAAGATACTGACTATTATGCGGGATCAGTATTGCTAATACAAGTTGAAACAAACTAGACTTGTACCTGTGCTCAAAGGTAGAAAACTAACTGCACGCGATAAGTTGATTCAAAGGTATGCACTACAAAGCCAAGATTAAACAGTTGCAAAATCCTACCAATTTTTACCACTTCGACAATTTTGATTTTGTTTACTGACAATACACCCTCACTCAAAATACAGCCAAGGATACGGATGTAATCCATAGGCACGGCAGGAGTGGAAGCAGAGCGGACCATTCAAATCACAAATGATGCAATTACATTCCAGTTGTTTACTATGATTGTGTTACACATAATACCGTGCCGTGAAAAAATGTAATAGGCACCAAATAATAAAGTTAACATTAAAAATCATAACATTAAAAAATTGGAGTTAAAATAAACTAACATCGCCTTGCGGCATCAGTATTGCTAATACAAGTTCAAACAAACTAGACTTGTCCCAGTGCTCAAAGGGGGGCAAGGAAGCAGAGCGGGCCATTCAAATCACCAATGATGCAATTACATTCCAGTTGTTTACCTTACTGCAGAGCTTTAGTTACAATTTTTGCAATCAATCAACAGCTTTCCAACCACAGTTGTTTTGCTAGGTGATAGTTCGAGAAATAAATGTAGTTCATTTAACAAATCAGGAAAACAGTGCATTCGTTCCTCCTTAGAGAGTTCTGCTGGTGACGAAAGTGGTATGATATCACTTATTACAAAGAATTCTATTGAAGATGAAGCGACTAAAATACTAAAATGCAAGTATCCAAACACTGCACGTTCAGTAACACACTGACGACCATTGCTGATCTCGCAAAGGTGAGAAAAACCTGTGAACTCGCTCGCGAATTAAACACGGCAAATGATGCGACAATTGTTAGCTTTTTATACAATAGACGCTAAATTTTCGACAGCTAGAGGACTTATGGAATTGAGAACATTACAAAGCATTAGAAGATGCTTTGCTTTATTCACCTAGAGATATAACTTCGCTCCCAACGGTTTACCGCCTCATCGTGGCTGGGAGGTCTTCCTGGATGTCGGACTGCGACGTACAGCGGGAAGCATCCATCCCTCCGGAAGGGTCTCCCAAGCTGAGAAGGAGTCCGGCGTTTCCATGAGGAAGCCGAACTAAGAGTAAACCAGTACAAGGACCCACCAGCGTCCTGGTATCAAGGTCGGGTGGTGGCAAATCTCCCTCTGATCCACAAGAGCTGTGACTGCCTGTGGTGGTGACGACCTGAGGTAGACTTTGGCCAGGCTGACCTCGGGATTCCGGAGAACCACAATGGGTTAACCAGCAGGTCTCCGAATAATGGTGATTATGCTGGAGCCCGCACAACCAGTGAGGACGGGGCATTCAAGTATCAAGTAAGTAAAATATAGCTTTGCCACTGCATGCTACATTTTATTATATTTCATTTGCCAAACACTTGCTGCTAGAAATGGAAGGATATTGACCTACGTTGACCATTCCATACGGTAACGATGACCCATCATAACAAATGGAAATGAGAAAACAGTGAACTCGTGGTGAAAAATTGAACTTTTCATGCCACACTAGAGCGACAGTATCGGTTTTCTAATAACTACCTAAAATTTTCGGTGATTAGGGAGGGGGCTAACGAAATTTACAACTTGCCATAATTATACAAAACATTTCCTCTGCCATGATAACTTCTACAAAACGTACTTTTCACCTAGAATGTACTTAAAATTAAAATTTCCTCAAAAAATCCATTCCCATCGTCGTCTAATAGTAATATTTGCATCTTGTTGAGAGGATCTTCAGATTGCAATGGCTTTCTTTTATTTTGATCAATAAAGCTCCGATGAAAGCAGTGCCTCCACAATCGATTTTCGAAGTGACCCACCACAATGGGCTCAACATTCTACGGCACACTGGACCATCACCAAAGGATCAATAGTAATCGGCTGTTCTTGAAAATTAAACACTTCATTTGCTCAACTAAATCATAACAATGCGCCAGTTCTGTATGTGCTTTGAAGGAAAAACACTAGAGGATTTTCTAAAAAAAAAATAATAATAATCCAGTGGAAGCTAAATGGCACAGTTGTTGGCGCAACAGAATCGGAGTGGTATAACGATGTTTAAGTGGAAAACTGTGATGAACATTACTCCACTGCACACAGTTTACGACGCGACAATTTCCTCTAGATCCTTAAAAATTAAGATCAGTGAAAGCTAGCACTAAAGTTTTTCGAGAGCACGAATGATCAAAAAGATGGCGCTCTAGGTTCCACTTGTTAGAAAGGCTGGCAAATTGTGCGTATACTTCTGTTTATTTGTGATTTAGACGCATCCTTCCTACTCATAAATTAGGTATATGCGGTTCTTCTTCAACATGGGCACACAGACGTGTCTGGTGAACGGATGAAAGATACAGAATGAGCATGTGCGTAGAATCTCGCAGAATGACTATAAGGTGGACATCTCTTGCGTTATGCAGGATGCGCGAGTGCTTCGACACCGTCGACTTCTCGCTTCATGGAAGAGCAGCACTAAGAATTCGATACGACGGAGACGATGTGTGGGATAATACAAAGGAATTGCTAAGCACTACGGTAGCAAATACGAGGCAGTACGTACCAGAAAGCTTAGCAGTAGATGCAGTCGTTGTACCTATCTACTTGAATATTTGAACAGAACGTATTCACGTGTTGTGCGGACCTCAGAACACTTTTCATTCGTCTCTTTGCCAAATCGTCATCCATGGTAGTGGTTTGACTCTAACAAGGTGGTTGGTGCAATTTCATAGAGTGATCTGCAAAGTAAATGCAGCAACAGTACACCTAATTGATTTCAACTACGATCACGCTCGCCCAACGTAGAAGTGGTCGTCGTAAGAAACTCCCACAACCTCGTGGACTACAACCTACACTTCTTTCCATCCAACTGTTGTTTATCCTTCTTGTTATATGATCGGCCCGTTCGTGTTTCGCTCTCCATGAATATTCTTCCGGGTCCAGAAGATGGGATAGGACTCGAAGATTTGAGCGCGCATTCCGGCTGAACGTTGTAAGTGCGGGTTAAATTTGAGAAGACATCGTTCAAGCGCTATATGAATAGTGCGCAGTGTTCATGACGTTGTTAAAGCATCAGCCCACGTCTCTACTACTTAACAGAGTGCTGGATGGTCTGTTTAAATGAAAAGGTGGGCGCCGATTACTGCGTTCCTTAATTGGTTGGTGGCTTCTTTGAGAGGATAAGACGCAGTCTGTGCTACTCTCCTTTTTCTATTTCTTCGTTCACGTTCTTTTTGATCTTTACTGAACATCAAGTTATATGTACAACCAGAGAAACATCCAGATTGACTTGACCGCCTTCGCACCATGGCTTTTTAATGAACTGGATCTTCTTCCGATCTATGGCACCTTTTTCCCCACTTCGTTGAGTTCATTGAGCATCGTCTTTGCTTCCTTGGTACTCCTTGAAATAATGACGATGTCACTGGCTAACGGAGCTTTGATAGCAATTTTCCATCAATATTTATGCCTTTCTCATCCCATTCAAGTGACTTCATTATCCACTATGGTGCGACAATAAACAGCGATACTGTGTCGCGTTGTCGAAACTGCTCCTATAGGTTAGAGACGGATGAAAGAGCTATAATTTTGTTTTGCAGCACCGATAACAGCGAGCTAATGTTCATATACAAGTCGGGTCCACTCCTCGATCGACGAGAGCTGATAGGATTGCATTCGCTTCAGGACTGTCAAACACTCTGTCACATTCTGCAAGATTCAAGACTAGAGGTAGATAGTATTCCCGACAAACTTCTACGGCCTGGAAGCTGCTTGAATGTGATCCATGCTACGAAATCCTTCTACGCAGCCGTTGTGGGAGACATTATTGTTTAAAACGTTTCAGTAGACACCATACAATTCATATACCACCGATAAGAAATTCTTTGTGAAAATTATTTATTAAAGAATTGCAACATATATGGGGCGAGGGCAGTGCAGTGGTTAGTGACGCAGTCGATTAGGAACCAAGACGCTATTTCGATCCCCGCCTTAACAACGCTCTCCTCCAATTCACGTGGGAACGCCTTAGCCTGGCTATCTCTAAGATTGCAAGGAGAATTGACTGGACCACCATTCTGAGACATCCGTAAAGAAAATGAAATCCTCTAGCAGCAACCGAAACAACACGAGAAATGTTCAAAGACCATGCTGGAAACGCTTTCCTGAAGTGTTTCAGGTAGAGGCATTTTTGCGCCTATTCACTTACCATAGTGTACTGTCCTATGCTACATAAACCGTTCAACAGCAATAGTCTCTTGTCGCGAAATGTTCTCATCCAAAAGAGATTCCTGGCAAAATAACGAGTGTATAGAACGTTCTTCACAAACCATCCCCAATAATGGATCTATGTTTATGTTACCGATAAAATACTAAAATTATGGTAAAACCTCTGTAAACTACTGAAAAGACGTGGCCTCATTTCAGGCCATCTGATCATCAATGTGTTATGTTTTCAACTTTAAGGATACTTTTTTTGTTCATAACCCCACCATGACATAGGAAATTAATTTAAGACGTTGAAACACACTCAACAAACGCTATGAGACGAATAGCATGGAAGGTAGCAATGTGGCTGGACAAAAGACACTTTTTCGTCATAAATAAGGAATTCGAAATACCCTAAAACCATGGACGGATATACAGAAGGACAAACAAGACGGGTAAAACGTAAAGAGAAAGTAACAGAAAACTACAAAGTGGAAAAAAGGCAAAAAGAAGAGACTGAACTTTTGTGAGCTCGGAGGAACATACGAATCACATAATTCATAGTGTTCATACCTAAAAGGCACACCTGTTAATAGTATATTCACTACCATTACCAGGAATGGTATGTCATTTTTCAAGGATGTATTGGACAACCCTGCAACGAAAAAACAGCGCGTGACATTAAAATGAGTGACACTGATACACATTTTTGAGGCAGGCGCAATCGGCCTCCATTTTGTCACACAACCTGTGGAATAGATGGTTTGAAGGCGTCATAGAGAGCATTTATATGTCGGGTGGGATATGGTAGCGCACACCAATTTCCCTGTGTGTTCCTGAGTCAATCCGGCGGAGTGAGGATGACCGTGACGTGGAAAAACCGGACTCGAATCAGTAGATTTTCCTTAGAGGCTGCGATAGATATGCAGCGTTACTTTCAGCAACGCAAGCCAGTACCATCAAATAACCGTTTGGTAATCGTAACACGTCAAAATGTAGCGTTGATGTTTTGAGCTTTCGTTGATACGCTGATACCAAGCGGCCTAGACATAGCTGTTTGGCTTTGTCGACCACTGACTTCAATTCAATGCTACTTTTCTCACTAAACTTGTACTCTTTTATGCAGCTCATAACCACATTACACGTATGCCGGCTCCAATAACTCCTTATCTGTAAAAGTAACTCATAGAAGTAGTTGGAATGTCTTCTCCTCTTGATACTTTTATGCGCTCAATGAGCGCGGCCTTCCCTGTGTATCCAGATAGTCCTGCTGAGAGTACTCAGCTGTTTACCACGAGCAGTTACAGATCCAAGGAGGTTCACTGGTCTACCACTACGATTTTCTCATTACTGCAACGATTCTTCCAAACAGTTAAGTAATCTACTGAGTACAACAGCTTATACCGTTCTAGATTTATCGGTGTCCACATACCCAATCTACAGCGTTCCTGAGTCTTGTGTAGCAAAAGTGAGCTTCAGAAACAACTTTGGTAGCAATTTCCTTGCTCCGGATATATGTAAGGCTTGGCAAACCAAAAGTTGAACGAGGGCTTTATGTTTACTGAATGTCATCACTACAGCTGTACTAGACACACCACCATTTATATAGATATACGATTCGTCTGAGATTTTTCGAAAAGACCACAATAATTCCTAAGCGCAGAAGCCATACCTTATATCCTGACGCACACTCAGCAGGAAATGGGAATTCTTGAATGAGTGTCCCTAGATTCATATCCCACATTTTTGCGATTCCATCATATCCCACCGAACTGAAAAAACACACTAGTTCTATAAAACAATGAATTTATTGGACGACAGAAAGGCATTTTTACAGACATAATCATTCGTCCGTCGGCTGATATGTCAATGTCAAACACATCTGATTTGTGTGCCTCAATGTCAAGAATTGGGGTACGGATAGTTTCAGGATTCTGCAAAAACCATACCAACATTGACTGGAAATAGAACTGTGATGGTTTCATTTCAAACAACTACATTTATCCTTTCGGAAAAAAATCGTGAAAACAAATTTAAATAAGTACACGCACAACACCTTAAGAGATTAGAGATAAAAACACATTGTATATGCCTTATACTTCTACACTATATCTTTTCATGTGACCTAGGAAACCTAATGTTGCACAGGTGCGTGTTTTCTCCATTGCAAACAAATTTGTATCAACCACCAGACCACAAAAAATGGAGAATTAGTTAGATGGGATGGGAGATCGTACCAGAGACCAGATATCGCATACTGTACACTGGGCTATGAGGTCCAATATTGTTTCTATTCATATCAAACCATTTTTGAAGGATTGAAAGGCTTCAACCAAGGCTGACAAACCCGATCCTCGACCAGGGCATGTGTGTTCCATACTCGAAGTCGTCCATCTTCTCCTCCAGTCACAACCCGCTTCCCAGCAGTTGAGTGGTCAAAACGCACGCACTTCTGGAGATTTTCACTAGTTACAATTCTTTTTTGTTAAACCATTATAACCGTAATAGAAGTACAGTGGAAAAAAAAGATTAAATTAGACTGTACAAAGCACACACCTGGAAAGACTCGACTTCTTCAGATGTCGTTAATCTCCCAACATTACAAATATTATAAGATAATACTTCATTATCAGCATCATCTTTGCCGACAGTATAACCCGTAGTCTCGTATATATCACAATACTGAAAACACTTAAGGTCACAGTACGTGAGGTTAGGTCTGATTTCCAAACATTGTTTTAGTAGTACATAGTTTCACCTCCAAGTACGAATATTTCTTAAGTAGAAAGAACGACCAACCTGTCCATGACCTGCTGCTATCAAATACCGACCTTTTTCTAGATTCGAGCAGCATACAACGTCCATATTCATAGTAGCATATGAATCTGTATTTATCTGAAGAGAAAAAAGTTACAAAATGAAGAAAAAAACGGGAAAATCGCATAAGATTACCGTATTTACAAGCTTCGCTTGTATGGGAGTGGGGCAGTTGGATATGGCTTTGTTTCCAAATGTTAAGAGGTACGTCTGCAACATCAACTTTGTGGTTAAACTCCTTGTTTACCAGAATCAATTACTAACAACCTGCATGAGGTTTAATACACCAGTTTTCGATTCACCCCCGCCTCCTGCTACAATAATGTGGCGTGGACCCAGTTTTTTAAGGCAAAACAGCGGTATTTTTGAGGTCACAACCACCGGTGGTTCGGTTCGTGACGAAGCCGATCCCATTCGCTGAAATATTTGAAACCGTCATTTTGTGCCCTTAACACAAATGTAAACAGGTAAACACGCGTTGAAAGACATATAAGAACAGTGAGCGTTTGGAAATGGGCTGCTCGTAAGTGACTAAGGTCAGTGAAGCCCATTCCACCCAAAGCCATGAAGGTAATCTACCAGCATTACTAAATAAACCGCAAAAAGGAGAAGGCAAAGGAATATTACAACACCACTGACCAACTTTTCCGTTTTCAAAGGAAAATTATTGAATAGCACGTGCGAAAAAGTGCCAACGTGGAAACCTGACGGTTCACACCAATATGGAGCAAATTCTGTCATTTTAACATTTAAACTAAAACAAAAAAAACATCTAAACAAAGGGGAACCTTAACAGATAATTAAGCAGCAACTGCAAAGTCAAAAAAAACCCAATTATTAAAGTACTCACCAGACTGAATTTGAAACTAAGCCTACGCCAAATACCTACAAGTACTATAAAAAGGTTAGGTTCACAGAAAAGAGTAGCTTAAAATAGTAACCAGGCATAGAAACTTGAGAAATCATTCTGAAGAGTGGCCTGGTTACGCGAAATGCGTTACTTAGCGCGTATACGAACTCGCGCAAGAACCGCAATTGCGGACGAGACAGCACACGACACGGTGCGCTACGATCGGATCGGACGATCCCAGTTCAGGGAGGAACAGCTAGCCTATGTGGTCGATTTGGTCACAATAGTATGAAATTAGGCCATCCACAGGAGGAAGCTGATAGCGTCAGTTGGTCAGATGACGACTTTTGAAGGGATCTTCCAGTAACTGGTAAGGTATTCAAATGATGTTGATCTTACTTACCTACCTGTCCTCACTGCTTGTGCGGGACCCAGCATAATTTCCATTTTTCGGAGTTTTGCTGGTTTAACTACTGTACTTCTCTGGAGTCTCGAGGTCAGCCTGGCCAAAGTCTGTCCCAGGTCCTCACCACCACAGGCGGCCACAGCTCTTGTGTACTAGAGGGAAATTTGCCACCATGCGACTAGTTTAATGCTAGGATAGTGGTCGATTCTGGCATTGGTTTACTCTTAGCTGGGCTTCCTGTTGTATAAGCCGGACTCCTTAACTTGGAAAACCCTGCCGGAGATGAATCCTCCCTGTACATCGCAGCTCGACACCCATGAACACTTCACATCCACGATGAGGCGGTAAACCGTTGGGAGATAGTTGATGTTTATGTTAGCAATAGTGTTATCTGTTGTAGGAATCTGGTCATCAGACACATTACGTGGACATCGATTTTACATGTGTTGCAGGGCGCCTCCGACCACTGCACCACACCCACCCTTCCACATACTAAAGGACAAATGCAGTGAATCTTACACATAGCTCTTCTGTGTCGCATCCATAGTTCAGTCGCAAACTAGCTTGACGCAACGAAAAACGTGAGAAACATTCGGGATGAATAATCGATAGCGCAGGAAGCCTACACCTTCACTTGTTCTAGAGTTTCTGGGTCGCCGGAAACGCAATGGTTAGAGACGCCATACAACACACGTTTGATCGAATCCGTTCTGAATTTGCTATGTTGCCAATAAATCGACGAAATGCACCATAAACTTCAGCAACAACAACCGGCATTAGTCAACAGAAAGGGACCTTCTCCACGACAACGCCGATAGCGCTGGTTCCGGCCTCACGTTGCGGAACCAGTGCTACAGAAGTTGAACGAGTTGTGCCACGAAAGTCTCCTCATCCGCCATATTCATCAGACCTCTCCCTACCGACTATCACTTTTTCAAGCACTTCGACAATTTCCTGCGCGAGAAATGCTTCATCAACCAAGATGACGCAAAAAGTGCCTTCAACGAATCCATCGCTTCCAGAACTCCAGAATCTTACGCAAATAAATGAATAAACTTGTTCCTTATTTGCAAGAATATGTAGATTCAAATGGTTTTTATTTTGATGGATAAAATTTTCTTTAAGACCCTTTATGACATTTTAAATAATATAGTTAAAAATTACTTGAGACCTGAACGGCCCGTCCTCACCATTTGTGTGGGCCCCATCACAATCATCATTTTTCGGAGATTTGCTGGTTAAGCTATTGTGGTTCGCTGGAATCCCGACGACAGCCTGGCCAAAGTCTGCCCCAATATAGTCAAAAACGTTCATTTATTTCTGAGCAACCTAATATATGATATATATATATACACATATTTATTTTAATTTTGTTTGATCCGTTTTCACGTCTGCTGTGCGGATCCCAGCACTTCTCACATCCAGCTCGTTTTTCGCATCCATTGTCCACGAAGGTCTTCCAAGTTTTACGTGTCGCTTCGGTTACTGTTTGAGGATTTTCATTTCATCTTGAATGTTGTAGAATGCTAGTCGTGCAATTCTCCCTGGAGTCCTGGGATAGCCAGGCTGAAGCGTTCTCAATTGGATTCTACAGTGTAATTTTTTCCCAGATAAAGTCCGGTACCAATTTCTCCACTCCTGAGGAATGAGAGGCTTGGTGGCCCGAAGTGGAATCGAACTAGCACCATGCTCGTAATGACCGATATCACTAACACTGTGCTAGTGCTATCCGTCCCCTATATATGTATATGTAAACGTTGTTATGTGTCTAGCGCTTCTGTTTCGCTATCGGTGTGTATTTTTTAGGTATGGAAGGTAGAATGCCTTTTGAAGGTCTCGACTGCGGATTTCGGCAAGTGGTTAAGTGTGCTGGTAAAATTGCAGAAGGCATCGTTTTATGGCATCTATGGGTGATGCGCAGTTTTCCATTTGGTCAAGGTATCAACGGAAATTTGCTGCATAACTGGACGCTACTAGGAGCATTGAGTCTAAAACGTAGGCTTTTACGTTTATCTGCTATAGAACGCAGGAGTTTCGTGTAACTAGTTGGCTGTCTGTTTTAATGAGTGTTTTAAGCACCATCGCTATTTCTGTCATTCCTCTCTACAGTACCTCTTTCGTATCACTTCTTACTTATCGTCCCGCTGATCGTCGAGTGACTTAAGCAGCCGCCAGGAAATATTCCATTTCTCCCCATCGCGAGCGAGTATAGCCCAAAGGGTTCTATTTGCTCTAGGGACTCGCTAAGCATAATATGCTTCTTCTAGTTAAGAGCACCGACCATCGAGTCGGTTGTCCCTAGACAGTACGTTTGACATTTCGAGCAATTCAGTCATTAACGGCTCTTTCCCACTGGGTGTTCTTCAAACGTATTACGTGTCCAGCCCACATTATCTTTTACAGTTTGGCATATAGGACGTTGTCCTTGGTTTTTGGTCGTTGATGTAGGCCTGAGCTTCGGATTCTTTTCATTTGTGTGACATGGTATACTCCTAAGATCGTCTTTTCGAATGCACGTTTAATAAGGTTGAGTGGTCTTTCATCCTGGTTACGTAGCGACCTGGCTTCTGACGGATCCATTAAGGCGTGAAGAATTGTGCAGTCGAAGTAGTGGAGATGGAGTCTAGTGTTCTTTATTCTTTTTACTACATCCTCGATGCCCTTGAAAGCTCACCAAACCTCTCATTTTCTCCTGCTCATCTCCGGAGCTAAGTCGTTCATCATGTTGATTTCCTGACCTAGATCGACGTAACTGGAGCTGGGCGATAGTTGCCGATATCGTGGAGGCCACCGTTCTGAACAATCGCGCGGCCTTGCTGTTCTTCCACTGAGTGGGAATCTCGCCTTCAGACAAGTATTGTGTGAAGAGCCCAGCCAGTGTCTTTGTGAGGACTGGTGGAAGGTTCTTTAGGTGATCGTATATTATTCTTTCTGGAGTTGGTGTTGTTCGGTTCTTCGCCGTGGAAACAACAGGTGGATTTCGTAAGAGAGAACCGGTAGGACGACATATGTATACTACTTTATTATATTCTTAGATATCTCAGCAACGTTGTGGTTGTATCCTACTTTATTTCTTATGGGGGCAGCATAATGTGGTTATTGAAGGGATCCAAGTAGTAATTGTTAATGATTTTCTCGATTACCCTTCTGGAAGTTGTGACTGTCCCATCTGGACGTCGGAGTGGAATCATCATGGTTTTGTAACTGGCAAAGCTTCGGTGGGATTTGCAAATACTTTTCCCAGCATATGCAGCTTTGACCATAACCACTGCTGTTCTCTCTTTAAGATCGTCTTTTACCGCCTGTCTGCATTGTTTTGCAAGTTCGGACTTGACTGTTGCTTGCAGTGCGTGGTATTCCACTCTGGCGTATTAGCTAGAGTGTTTCAGGAGACAGATGTCTCTTGATGACTTTCGAACTTTCAGCCTTCACAGCGCTAACGTGAGGGTTTTGAAAGAGCCAATCGAATTCTTCGACGATCTTACCAGTATTGGCATCTTTCCAAAAGCCAACTAATGGACTGATTAAATCCTAGCTTATGGTGGTTTTATGAATTTCTTTCTTGAATTTGGTGGGTTTTTCTCCTATGCGGGAGAAACGAACTCTTGCACGAAGGAGCTGATGGTCTTTTCCCATGCACAATTTTGGAACGACAGCGATATCGATTAGACAAAAGTTTCGATTAACTATGATGTGGTCTACTTCGTTATGGTATTCTCCTTTGGGAGACTCCCACATCCATCGTTGAGAGAAGGGCTCCTGGAATTGAGAGTTGATAAGCCGCACACCATGCTGGCTACATTCTAATCCGTGTGTCTCAATGTGACGTTCTTAGAATTTATGGTCTTTTGTTTAGGGCCTCTCCGTGTCCATAAACGCTATGAAGTATCATTTCAAATTTCCCGCTATTGCAATTGGTCGGTTGCACATTAGAATGTACTTTTCATGCCCAATGTTAAGATACTGCTTTGGATTGCCAAGTAGTGCCTGACTTCTAACACAGCTTTCCTGTCGTTAGGTGCCTTGCTGGATATCAACTGTACCACCTGTCGTCCTGTTGAGTGGCTTGAGCGGCTAAAGGGCAGATATGCATTCAATCATCCCCAAGCAATGCTTAATGAAGACGAATGCATGGCGCATCGCAGGATAGATCAACGC